TTAAATCTGAGGAAGGATTCAAGACCAAGAGGGCAAAGTACAAATGATAATGCCGCCTCTGACACGACACCGCAAGAATGACTCCAGTCAGCTACTTGCTCGAGTGTGGATATGTGTAATCAACAGGCCTGTTAAGTTAAAAACCCCCGTTTATATTTATATATGTGTACGTCGCATGTGACAGTTTGTGTTTTTGTATATTAACGACGCCACTAAGGCTGAACGTCTAATAATGATGGCACGAAGATGCTGAAACGACCGTAACAATGTAATACTACTATGAGCTGATTGACGAAGATATCTCTATTTATTGATTTAGTAACTGTCTTACAAAACCATATACTAATATAATATACGTGCACCAATAATAATTGTCCATGGAAAATAAATAACTTTAAAGCACAAATGAATCTAACAAGGTAATTAAATATTAAGTGTTACCTTAAGATTTGCAATAAGAGTGTTTACAGGCTGTCTGATTACTACAGAGCTTGAGATTTTCAGTGCAGTTTTTACCTAATACTGTCTGTGTTAGTATGTGGCTCAGTTTTTTGTACACATTCTCCACGACCCTAAGTAGTAATATATTGTAAAATTAGGATTATCATTTTTTATATTTATAACTCCATATCCTTTTTAACTTACCATTTAGAAACTTGCCTTAAAAATTGTCTATTAATTGTTTTTTATATTACTGTAAATAAAAAATTTGCTAAGTAAAACAATTAATTCTAATTTATTATATAATAGAATAATTGGTTAAAACTTGTATATTATAATAAATAAAGAGTAAAAAGTACATTTCAAACCAACCCATTCATGACGATTTACGTTTGTAGCCCGTCACAGCATTTCACCATGAGATAGTCCTATTGCTTCTTTTTTATTGGTATAGAGGAGGACACAGATTTTTATTTTTATGTTTTTATTATGATTAAATATGGGCATAATCATGTTGAAATACATATAGGCCTATGATAAAAGTCGTAAAAGGACATAACCTAAAAAATATCTTAACAGAGAAATAAAAAAAAAATCCAGCGTCAATTCAAATTAAATATTTCCTTAATGGATGTTTAGCCCAGCCAATAAATGCAATAAAATAACACCGTTTTTCACAACTAAATGGTGGAAAGCTGGATTTTTTTATATGTGATAGAACCTTATGAGAGGTGTATTTTCCCAAAAGTCCCCACTTCTACCCCTTGAGCTTCCCCCCCCCCCACCCCCTCCAAACTTAGAAATTGCAGTGTTTCACGTAATTGATCATAAGTAGAATACTGTGTAAACTATGGTGTTGCAATTTGTTTTGTTTTATTTATGGTTAGTTTTACTACAACTTTTAGATTTATAACATTTTTATAAAACCAGTACTTAAGGAGATATAAAATTTAAACTTCGTTAAAAGCTTTGTTTCAGAGTTACAATTTTGTCTTTCACTGTATATTTAAAAAAATAGAAATAATACGCAAGAATGGTTCAATCAAAAGTGTTAGTACGTTTATAAAGGTTTACAAATATATTTTTAGTTAGATATCTAGGTGAACTGGTGAAGAGCTGGGCGTCGGCAAAGCGAGCGCGTGCGGGCTAGTTGAACACCTCTGCGCCACGTCGTCACATCTAGCCCAGTCAACAAACGCACAAACTGCCTTTTTTTGTAGCTAAATCGTGGAAAGTTGGTTTTGTTATATGTGATAGAACCACTTAAGACGTGTATTTTCGAAAAGTTGCCTATTCTCCGCCTTGAGCCCCACCCCCTCCGAACCTGGAAATTGCAGACGTTAACTTTATTGGATATAATTCAAATTCTATGCATGCTATTGTATTGAAATTTTATTTGTATTATTTATAATTAGTTTATCTACAACTTTTGTACTAAAGGTATTGTTCTAAAATTATTTTCAAAAATATATAACATTTTAACTTTGATAATGTTTATGTTTTGGAGTACACAATTTTGTTTTGTCCTGTATATATATTCTTTCCAAATACATTTGCAAAATTTTTCAAACAAAAACATTAGTATGTTTCTTAAGGTTTATAAATATATATTTGGTTAGTCTTGTGAGCGAACTGATGTAGTGTGGGGCGTCGGCAAAGAGAGCGTTTGTAGGTTTCTTTAAAGCACCCGCGCAGCCCCGCCCGTCTATGCGTCGCACCCCAGTCGTAAAAGGAAAAGGGAAAAAGTGAAAAAGTTTACGTCGACCACTAATTCTTGATACAAACTGCGTCCTGTCATTGCTATGTCCCTCTCTTCAGCCTTCCCGATAACAAGGGTTAGATGTCTGCTCTACCATGAGTTGTAGACCTGTGTTAAACTAAATCACGAACCACGTAGGATACTGTCGTTAATATTTATAAGCTATTTTTAATCATGGTGAGAAATACAAATTAAGACTATCTGTTTTTTTAATTAGTGGACATTTTAAAACACTTAATGAGTGCCTTCTTCTTTATTAGCGATGTTAAAGGTTTGCATAATGTCTACCACAAACCAATAAATAACTATTATATTGACTCATTTTTAAGATAACATGAAAACAATCAAATATTAGAGAACAGAACTTCACCAAGGTTGACAGTATAAAGTCTCTATAAATGATTTGTAATACAGTACAGCCAATTTTACAGAAAAAAAATTTGATTGACACATCTACACAATATGTTAAGAAAGGACATTTGCATAATCTGCCTGTATTACGAAATAGTCTTGTCTGTTTGTATGGGGACACAAATATAGTTTTTTAATTACTTATTTAATTATGATAACTTTTGGATATACACCTTATTGCACTAATTTTATGAAAAACAAATCAAAGAAAATACGTCTATATAACACTTAAAACAAAACAAGACTGTAAATATACATAAAAGATGATAAGTGGTGGTAGATTTCAATTGTACACTCCATCAGACCCAATAGGTGAATTGGGTCATCATTGGGTTCAGTATGTTTCTTACCCAGCTTTATGTATGAAATATATGTATCCTATATTATTTTCAAAAGGTGTATCCGTTGACATAAAAAAATTAAATAAATTATTACTTCAACTGAGAAACAAGTTAAAACTAACAATAAATTTAAGAAATGTACAAATGTTTAGGTTTCATCTTAGTAGTATTGTTTTGCAGTTTACTGTTTAGATCTTTACTGACCGCTTGATTTGTTCCGCTTGTGTATTTGACTGGGGATACAAATATTTACCCACTTCTAGAAACTACCCATAAAATTCCAAAAACTCGCATTTTCTAATTTAAACCCCTCAAAATTTCTATTCCCCCCCCCTTGTTCTTATGGGGAATAACATTGAAAGTTACCAACATTCGTATGCTCATGTGAACCGTTTAGAAACGTGCTAGAGACTTGCAGTCTTTGGCGTTTTCCGCCAGTCAGTACAAATCTTGCGATACAAAGTGGGTCCTATTGGTGGTAGATAATGTAAAGCACTTAAGCAAGAGTATGTTTATATTGACTTTAACAGTATTTATTAGGCCTAGTGTTGTATAACTCTATCCAACTTTCGTTGGTCAAAGATGAAGATGAAGAAATGAAGTAGTAAGTAGGTAGATAATAATTTACCTAAACCAAAACTGGCAATAGTGGCAATAAAAAAATAGTACTTATGATTGGGTTCCATCTAAATAATAATTGTTTTTGCAGTTCACGGTTTAGCTTGTAAACAGATTGTTTTGGTAGTAAGGTGCAAAGTACAAAGACTTAGGATTTGTATCAAACAGTTGAGAACTTAGCGGTGCCAGTGCTTATGACTGGGGCGCGACGAATCGACGGGCGGTGCTGCGCGGATGCTTTAAAGAAGCCTACACACGCTCTCTTTGTCGACGCCCCACACTACATCAGTTCGTTCACAAGACTAACCAAATATATATTTATAAACCTTAAGAAACATACTAAAGTTTTTGTTTGAAAAATTGTGCGTATTTTATTTGGAAAGAATATATATATATATAGGGCAAAACAAAATTGTGTACTGAAAAACATAAACATTATCAAAGTTAAAATGTTATGTCCCTTTAAAAATAGTTTTTAGAACGATATCTTGAGTACAAAAGTTGTAGATAAACTAATAATAAATAATACAAACCAAATTTCAATACAATAGCATGCATAATATTTGAAATATAATTTGAATTATATCCAATAAAGTTAACGTTTGCAATTTCCAGGTTTGGAGGGGATAGGGAGAAAGCTCAAGGCGGAGAAAAGGCAACTTTTCAAAAATACACTTCTTAAGTGATTATATCACATATAACAAATCCAGCTTTCCGCGATTTAGCTGTGAAAAAGGCAGTTTTGTGCGTTAATTGACAAGGCTAGATGTGATGACGTAGCGCAGAGTTGTTCAACTAGCGCGCACACGCTCTCTTTGCTGAAGCCCAGCTCTTCACCAGTTCACCTAGATGACTAACTAGTAATATATTTGTAAACCTTGAAAAACATACTACAACTTTTGATTGAACTATTCTTGCGTATTATTTCTATTTAAATATATATATATATAGAAAAACAAAATTGTGTACTCCGAAACAAAGCTTGTAACGAAGTTAAATTTTATATCTTCCTAAGTACTGGTTTTAGAGAGATATTATAAATACAAAAGTTGTAGTACAACTAACCAGAAATAAAACAAAACCAATTTCAACACTATAGCTTACATAGTCTCCTACTTATGATCAATTACGTGAAACACTACAATTTCTAGGTTTCGAGGGGGGTGGGGGGAAAGCTCAAGGGGTAGAAGTGGGGACTTTTGGGAAAATACACCTCTCATAAGGTGTTATCACATATAAAATATCCAGCTTTCCACCATTTAGTTGCGATAAAAAATATTTATTGACTGGGCTAGTTAGTGTTTTTAAAAAACATGTTTATTTTAAATTTTAAAAAATATTTTTGTATTGTATTATTAAATTTCAAAAGGGGCATAAATTTGTATCCTCATCCATTTTATTAAAGTTTAAAACCTGTTGATCTTTTTCAGCTGGAAGGACACAAAAACTTGGTGGAACAGTGTGTCCAGGGTTGTGGCACAGTGCAAGTCAACCTGCAGCTCAAGATGGAGGATGATGGCACAAAGAAGATCAACATCATTGATGTCCTCAAGCCTTCTGACTCCTACCTTCTGGCAACTGGAAATCCAGGTAAACACAGCTTACCACTGACTACTTCAGGCATCCTCTTTTTATAATGCTTGTTGAAGAAATGAATGAATGAAATAATATGTTTACTTTCCACATAATGTACAGAATGAACAAAAACATAGGTCTTTTTAATACATAAACAATTACAAATTATAAACTTAAACAAAAATAACATTTTCTGTAATACCTAATTTGATTTATTTTAAGAAAATCAGCAGACATAGGCAAGTGCTGTCTGTGCGTCTGCTGGGTTGCTATTGATAATTACTCTAGGGGGGAGATGATGCTGAATGTTATGGGGTTTTGATCACTTAAACTATGAGGTTAAAAAAAAAAATAACACTATTAGTCGAAAGTATTCATATGGTTTTCACTCCCTATAAAAAAATACTAACCCCGAGCTAACCTGTTCAGTTTGTATTTTATTAATGTATTTTGTTATTTATAATTATTTGTATTTTTGTAAGTTTCTCAGTTTGTATTTTACTAAAATATTTCCATAAACAAGACCTATTATTCCCCAATTTAAAATATTGGATTTAATGAGTGTTAAGGTTTGCTGCTACGGGGAAGTTAAAAAAAGGTTTTTTTACCAAACGGTAATAGTATAGGATGAAATAAATATATTTGTAAAATTTATTCAACATATATATCTTTAAACAAGTATAGGACAACAGTTTTCTTTTTCTCCATAAGAATAACATTGGAATCAAAATGTACAATTTTTTGGAATTTTCTCCATTACCTTTAATTGTACAACAAAACTTCAACATACCAAATTATTTGTTTTCTTAAGCTCTACACGGTGGTCTTAATGAAAGTTGGGCATCTCCATGTTTCACAGGGGCAAAAATTGAAAAAAACCTATTTTTAAACATTTTGAAACTCTATAATACCCTGTTTCCATGAACTCATTCGCCCTACGCCTTCATTCCAAATTTATTCAAACCTACTCTTACTCCTGTGGCCACACAAATCCCAAGTGATTTTTGGCCTCGCCAACAATGCGCCTCCACTGCAGCCTGTCCTCTGCTGCCTCAAAACTTTCTCCTAACCTCCTGCCTCACTTGGTCACTCCATCTTAATCTGGGCCGTCCCAGCGGCCGCCGTCCTTCTGGTTGCCCCATCCATACCCTTTTAATCATACTGTTAACAGATACTCTTCTATGTACGTATATAGAAAATTTATTCAAGATCGGACAAAAATTACTTGAATTATCGTGTTTATGGACACACGTGTGTGTATGTACATATATATTGTTAAGTTTGTATTTACACCAATGAAGGCTATTTTAAATGTTAATAAGTAAATTAATATACAAAAGTACCCTGAAATAATTTTATTACGAGGTGAAACCCATTGAAATTGACGGTTGATTTCAAGGCTTACGCTATTTCATCTAACTGCGATAAATAGAGTAAAATTCTCAAAAATTTTGAGCATTAAGCTTTGTTTAATGAGTAATAAATAAGTGTAAAAACTATAATAACCATTGTGTTCGTTACAAAAGATGGTTTATCATTCAATGAATTAAATATTTCCAGTACCGTACGTCATCAAAGTTATTTATTATCAGTATTTTAACTGGTTCCTCTTCTTTTGGAAGAACCTTTAAATAGTATTAATATCGTATTGGTGGATCTTTTGTTGTAAACACTCCTGCGATTTCATCAGTGCAATGCAGATTAAATCTATGCTTTTGTTGGAGAAAAAATATCTGTTTGTCGAGAAGGGGCGCTCTTACTTAAAGGGAGGTCCACTCTTAAGCTGTGTAAGTTTTATTTTTTTCCTTTGTCGCCCAAATTTTTATAGTGCATGTGGTGTGTGCAAATTTGGAAGAATGTCAAATTGATTTACCAAATTTACTAAAAAAACCAAATAGGCCTTCATGTTTTATATAGGTTAATATGCTACATAATGTATACTTAATCAAAATTGAATGGATAAAATACAAATTTGTTTTAGCTTTCAGTCCGGATATGCCAGAAGAAGAGACCACTCCACCTGTTGAGAAGGAAGACGACCCCTCTGAGCAAAACCTCATACGCTGGGTCATAGACCATGGTTTTAAATCTAGTCAACAGAAGTTGAACATCCCACAAGGTACTGACCCCCATAAACTCTTTAATACTGATATAATGCTTACCACCGATTCATCCAGGTATTACCTATACGGCGATATCTTGACGTCAGTATGTTATCAGCGATATCTTATCAGTCGTTTGCTAAGCTGAAGTGTGTGTTGTGAGAAGATTTTGGCTGCTAGATGGAGTAAAATGTATTCAAGCAACCAACTTTTTGAAACTATATGCTGTGAATTGTGATTTTCAAGAGAGAAAAAAATAGTGGAATGTGGCTAATTCAAAGTTATACAGTTCAAAATTGTCTTTAACGTTTATTTACACATCTTTACAGTGTGTTATAGATTTGGTATATATTTGTAACTTATTTTTAACCAACGCCGAACCATCCAAATCCGAAAATATCCGAATCCGAACCTCCCATTCTCCAAATCCGAACCTCCAAATCCGAATCCGAGCCTCTCAATATCCGATCCGATCCGAACCGAGCCTTGACCATCCAATCCGAAATGAAATTTTACTATCGGCACACCTCTAATTACAGATCCAACAGACTGGGATGTGTCACATGTGAGGCATTGGCTATTGTGGGCTGTCAGACAGTTTAACCTTACTGGCATCAAGTTGACAGATTGGAAGATATCTGGCCAACAGCTGTGTAGCCTCACTCTGGAAGATTTCAAGGCCAGAGTGCCCTACGACCCGTCAGATATCTTCTGGACTCATTTGGAGCTCTTGCGCAGGTGCAAATTTGTAGGTGAGTAGCGGTTTCTTCCTCTGTATGCTCAGAATGTATACAAACTTGGAAGAACCGGGAAAACCCTTGAATTTGAAGGGACCTGGAAAAAGCTGGGATTTCATAAGCGATTCCGGGATTTTAATTTTAGCCCCGCCCGGTAGAAGATGACAATCGCGTAAAATGTGTCTGCGAAGTTTGCACGATAGAAAAAGTCACGCATTTGACCTTATCCCTGAAGACTATGATGACGTTACCGTGACCGTGGAAGACAACGATGCCGTATACGTGGCTGCGGGAAATAATCATGACTTTGTCGTGATCGCAGACGACGTCAATGACATTTGCATGACCGCGGGAGTCAATGATAATGTCTATATGGTCGCAGAAGATTTTTTTTGTTTTTGGCGTGATCGGGAAAGACGATGATGACGTCCACACACGGCCGTAGGAAATGTTCATGATTTTGCTGCAATTCCTGATGACGACGATGGTGTTTCCATGACGGTGGGAGACGACAATGACATCCACACTGCTGCAGGAAATTGACGTTTCTGTGACCGCGGATGATTTTTGTGATTTGGCCTCAATTGCAGAAGACGAGGCTTTTGTTTCCGGGGTCGCGGGAGTCAATGATAATGTCTACACGGCCGCAGAATATTTTTGTGATTTTGCCGCGACCACGGATCACGATGATGACTTTTCCGTGACCGAAGGAGACAACATGTCAACATACCGCGGGAGAGGTCCAGGAATTTGCCGCGATCGCGGAAGACTGTGATGACGGTTACGTCACTGTGGGAGGTGATCAAAGAACCTTACACACAAAAAATATATCTTTAAAGGAAACAAATAATATGACTACCGATCCCAGAATTATATCAAAGTTTGATGATTATTTTATAAATAATATTAAGGATAACGTTTGTATTTTATGATAATATAGATTCCTTTGTAAACCGTGAAAACAAAAGTTTTAAAGAAGCATTTTACATTTAATATTGTAAGCCCAGAGGAGGTAGGAGGATAAGCTCGTAAAAATAAAGAGTGCCAAACATCACCTAAGCCAAATTCTAAGTCATCTCATCAACTTCTCATTTGTATCAGGAATGTTTCCAAATCAATGATAATTGGCAAAAGTTGTGCCTGTTCACAAAAAACATGACGAAAAACTGATAACAAACCATCCTCCTGTCTTTTTCTGCCTGTAATATAAAAAAATTATGAAACAATTGCGCAAAAACAATTAGCTGAATATCTTGAAAATACTAAACAACTCAATAATTTTAAAAATGACTTCAGGGCTGGAAAGTCTGTAGTAACAGCCGCGGTTTCTTTTATTGAATCTACAGGGTGTCCATAAAAAACGTTTCAGGACTTTGGGAAATGAATCCCCCTACTAAAAGGAAGAAAAAAGTTTATAAGAAGGTATATCCGAAAATGCATATTTACCCAGATATCCGCCATTTTGTTTTTTATACAAAAATATTTTTATCTGTGAAGTCTTTTATTCGATGATTATGAAATTTGGTACATGTTAAACATGTTAACACACATAAAACCTATAATAGAAAAAATAATAAAGTTGTTCCGATTGTAAATTTCAAAATGGCGGCCGTTTGAATTTTTCTAACTTAAATAACTCAAAAACGGCTAATTCTATGATGAAATTTTGAGGGTACTTTTTTTAGCATTTTTAATTTTCTATCAAACGATACCAAGATCAAAAAGATCAGACAAAAGATAACTGAAATATAACGTTTTTTGTGTAAAAATAAGGCAAAAATAAAGGGTTCCCCAACTAACTTAATCATTATCTTTTGATTAAAAAATTACAGTCATTATAATCATTATCTTTTGATTAAAAAATTACAGTCATTATGTCTATAAACAAATTTAATTAAATGGTTTGAATCGTATTCAGACAACCGACTTCAGTTTGTTGAAATAACTCATACATCAAATACCCTCGCTGCAGCAAACCTGCAGACTAAGCGAATTTCAACTTGTCTGATTACATTTTTACTAAAATATTTCCATAAATAAGACATATTTATTCCCAATTTAAATAACATTAGATTTAACGAATGCTTAGGTTTGCTGCTACGGGGAAGGTGAAAAGGGTTTTTTGACTAAACGTCAATAGTGTTTTAAGCTCTACAACAGAGGCGTTTTTTCTATGAATCGAATCGAAACATTTAAGTGGGAATAATTATAATGTTCACGTGGTAAACACTTATAAGAGAACCTGGAAAACCTCAAAAAACCTTGAATTTCACTTAAAAAATAGTATACACTCTGTATACTGCTTCTGTCAATAGAGTATGAATATGACCTAAATTTAAACCAAGATTTTTCCATCCCACTCCCACTGTATATTTCCTTGGGTTAGAATGGACCACAACATCCTGTGCTTGTCGTAAGAGGAGACAAAAAGTGGGAAGGGATCTCTTATCTTCATACCCTTTCATTCTAGGTAGAGGTTAATTTGAACAGCTGCCATATGACTCGGTTATTCTTTTGTCTTCGAATCTGCGGTACTGTATTTTACTAGCAAAGACCTTTAATTTTATATGCGTAATTTATCAACATATGCTTAAGATTTTCTTCTGACTCCTAGTGGGTGCCTCCCTGAGGAGGTAGTGTATCACAGAATAATGTGTTGAAATGATTTTTATGCCCAGTAACTTAGTACCAAATATTGTAGCTATCTGTACAATTTTTTTAAATATCAAACTGTCCTCTTTTCCACCCTGTACATAACTATTACAGTAATGTTATTCTTATTTTCTTCCTATCCTATTCTTGTATTTTAAATTGATTTTTATATTATACATCTTGATTTTGACTCCAGCCGTCATGCAAAATCCAGCGGAAGTCTTGATGCAATACGAGGCTGAAAAGAAAGAAAGAGAGAATAATTTGGCCAAGAACATAATGAGAAACAGAGATAAGAAGCTTAAACCACCTTCAATCACAGTGGATCCAGCAAACCAGCAAATGGCGTGTGGTAATTGGGGATCAGGTAACAGATCAGGTAAGAACCTAACTATAGCCTCCTCCAATACAAGGCTTCGGCGTTGGTGTCTGGTAACGTTGGAATGGCATACCTAATGCCATTAGAAATATCAAAAGTGTAAACATAAACATTGCCTATACGATCCATTATATAAATCAGTGCAACAGCTGATTCGGTTTGACGGGACAGTAAGGTTGCCACTTTTGTCTCGCCGAAGCCTTGTATTAGAGGAGGCTATGACACAAGAGCCAAAGGTATTAGGCACAAGATAAGATGTTTTTTATCTGTTAAGGTATGTGTTGCTTGGAGCGACAGATGTAACTGTCGCTCAGCAACTGTCGCGGGATGGTAGACTGTTTTGTTTGGAGCGACAACTTCTTCCTGGCGTCACCGAGACGTGGTACTGTCAGCGCACCTTACCTCAAAAGTGCACACTAAGTATAAATTCACTAAATAAATTTGATAAATTTGCTGAGTAAAAATTAACAATTGAGTATTCTTTAGTTATTTGTTATTTGAAACATTCCAAAATTGCCATGTCACAAGCCAAAATGTAATAAAAATACTCAGATCAGTGTTACAAACAATCTCCTCACAGAGTGAAAATTGTATTCTGTTGATTGTAAATGAAAAAAAAATTACCAATTACATGTTATACTCCATAAATATTTGAATATCATCTTACCACATTACTGTAATAATTGGCATTTTATATATTTAATATGACACACCTGACTTTTAAACCAATTTGATCAATAACCATTCATACAGAAAAATATATTTTGGATCACCTAAACAAAAATGTACTTAGAAGTCTTTAAAGTCTACAATCTAATTAATCTACTAATATATTAAAATAACTTGAAAAATAATAACATAATATCAAACTAACCTGGTCTTCCGACTTCACCAGCTATTGCCAGCCAGATGTTGTCCTTTATTCTTTGTTCTTTGTAGGAAATATTCTTTACTCATAGAGGGCGGGGTGTTTTGTCACTTCTTCTATTAATTGGTCGTCACCATCTGCACTAAAACTTAACTTTCATCCCAGACATTGTGTGGATAGCCGATGACACCATAGCGAAAATGAAAAGTTGTCAAAATAATGTATGTGTTCTATTTCTTATTTAGATAAAAATTAAAAGATCAAAAGAAACTAACTAAACTGTTTTTAATCAAGACACAAATACAAGACAATATTATTATGGAAAGTAAATAAAAACATATGGTTAAATAATAATTAAATAACCATAGAGGTTGAACAGTATGAAAACAATCAGAAAAGTAATTGTCGCTCCTGACTGGTCGTGGAGCAGTACCCCGCGAATGCAGTTCGCGGTTCTAGCAACAGTAGCGTCAAGCAAAACAGGACTATGCAAAACCCCCAAGAGCAGTGTCCCGCAACTGCCGCTCGGTGAGTCGCTCCAAGCAAAACGTACCTTTAGGAAGGTATGTTAGGAAGGTTTTTATGTCATATATTTCAGTAGATTGCTATAGTTAACTTACTGTGTAATAAATTAAATGTAACAAAAAGCTCCTATTCTTACTTCTGCCCCACTCAGCTTATTACACAGAGCGGCTGGAAGTAATGTTTTTAGCGAAATTCCCATATAGGGAATAAGCTATTACCGTGCTCTTTCTACCGTTATGGGGTAAAAATTTGGTTTTCCCATTTTTTACTCTAGAAACATGAAAGTTTACAATTTCTTTCCAAACCATTTTTAAGAGCTTAAAAAAACAAAATTACTCAGTATATTAAAGGGTTGTAATGACGAAATTTGATGCTACAATTTCATAATTTTTTCCAATACAAATACATATATTTTTAGTAATATATTATCAATAAGTTCATCAAGTCTGCAGCAGAGCTAATTTTTTTGTTTTATTTCATTTCACAGGTATTTTCTTCTATGTTGATTAATGCCACTGAAGATTTACTTTCTGGTCACACGATTTCAATTTGAAAAATATATTGATTTATATAAACAAAATTAAAAATAAAGCTGGGCTCAGTACAGATGTTGTCATGGGTTTTCAATAATTACTTTCTTCTAACGTCTTTTTTAACTTCTTCTTTTTCTTCTCTTCTCTTTTTCATCTGTTTCTTTTCTAACTTCTTTTTTAAAATTATTTTTTTGGTGTATGTAACCTTAAAAAAGAGTCATGCATTTTGCATTTGATATAAACAACAATTTCACAGGTCTTTTCTTTGTTGACTAATGCCACTGAAGATTTACTTTCTGGTCACTTGTTTTCAATTTGAAAAATATATTGGTTTATATAAACAAAAGTAAAACTAAAGATGTGCTCAATAGACATGTTGCCATGGGTTTTCAATAATTACTTTCTTCTAACCTCTTTTTACTTCGTCTTTTTCTTCTCCTCTCTTTTCTTCTCTTCTTCATCTTTTTCTTTTCTTACTACTTTTTTTAATTTTTTTTCTTGGTGTATGTAACCTTAAAAAAGAGTAATGCATTTTGCATTTGATATCAACAACAAGCGTAAAAAGGTTATTAAAAATAACAAGTATAACAAAAATAACAAACAGCAAGTAACAATTTGGATAATCAAAATGTAATGTTTTTTTTAATATAAGATTGGAATTAATTACGTTTTCTTACCTTGGCCGGAATGGAGCTAGCCGTGACCGGACTGAAATGGCCTGTTACTGAGACATCTTTGTACGGGTCTCTGCACCAAAGACGTAACAAGACATAGGCATATCAATAATTATTCTATGCATCAACTGTTAATGAAGGAAAAAGGAATGTAGCCTGAATATACATCAAAAGATTTTGTACCTTTTGTCAAATTCAATTTCAAGAATCAGGCTGCTTAATATCTAAAGAATCAATATTATATTATAATATTAGGAAAATGGTCAAGAGAAAATAGACAAAAACAATATAATTTTATTTGTACGACTTCTATGACAAAGTTATTGCGCCTAAAACCAATGTGCTCTTTAACAGGCTAAACCAACTGTCATTTCGGTGTAAACGTTCAAGCAAAAATAAAAACTTAGCTGAAAGAAAATTGCATTTCCCTAACCTAATATGTTAAAAAGTATATATACAATCATGTATATTGTAAGTGAGTAGGCCTACTCATTTACCAAATTATAAAAAACATCTTTTTCCTACAAGTTACTTTAAGTTGTCTGATTAGGACTGTTATGTACAATGATAGGGATCAGCTAGCTTACCTGGTAGACAAGAGTCCAGATTAGCATAGGTACACACATAACACACAAAACACTAATACAGACAACTTAATATTTCGTCCAAGTTAGGGACTTCATCAGAAGGGAGAAGAAAGAGGACTGGCAGTTAAAGTTCAAATTCAAAAGTTCCACAACAGTGTTGCCAACTGTTGTTTAAAATGAAATGACAAATCCTGTTGCAATGTACATCTTTACACACACACACTCATATATACACATGGTAGGTTGATTAAAAGTCAGTGAAAAAATGTGAAGCTAGCTGAGGGAAGGGTTGGGTGGATTATCTGATGTTAAGGTTAGGAGGGTTTCTGGAATCAGTAATGTATTGGTGGGCTAGTTCCCACCTTCTGAGTAGGGAGCTGTTGCATTGGTCTTTGGGGAGGGATTTGATGACCTTTGTGATAAAACATGTATCAAAGTCTAAGTTATGGTTTGCTGCATGTATTGCAATGGTATTTGTTTGTTTTGACACCTTGTCTATGTCTATTCATCCTTTGTAGAAACCTCAGTTACAACATCAGGACTATCTGACCATACCGCACAAATCGCAAAAATTATCACTAGATCATCATCACCAACAACATCAAAGAAAATAAACGAATCTTCAACAAAACAACAATAGATAACTTTAAGACACAACTACAAGAACAAGACTATAAAAAAACTATAAACTATAACACAAACTCATGATGTAAATGAAGCCTACACAATTTCAGCACCATCATCCAGACAACACTAAACCACACCTGCCCTTACTTGCATACTTGAAGGTATCCCACTTGTAGCATTTCAGTCATGGTCGTCAGTTTGGATTTGATAGTTAGGTTGGCCTATGTCATGCCCTCTTAAAACTTCAAGAGTTGAACAACATAAAAGGAGACAGTGCTGGGATCAAGAATCGACTAGGCTTAAAAATGAATATATGCCTTAGAAAAGGAGCAAATAACCGGACTTATGGAAGACAATGCTAGAACAGCTATTAAAAAAAAGGAGAACGACCATAACATAAAGCAAAACAAGTCTTAAACACTGTGGTTAACCATAAACCAAGAAGAAGAAAGAGAAGCAAAATCAAATACTGAAAACCAAATTCATCTCCAAGTCAAAAATAAAAAAATAGACAACCCAAAAGAAGTTTGAAACTGCTTTAATGATTTTTTTCTTCTCATCAATAGCTGACCGAACACTCCAAAATAATAACTCTAGAACCAATGCCTTAACAGACCACTTGCCAGAAACACATCACATACTCCTGTTCAGATGTGTCACACAAAAAGAAGTGCAAAAAGCCATTCAATAACTAAAGATGAAAAATAAGTCTGCAACTGGTAAGATATCAGCTAAACTTCTAAAAAATTATAAAAATTAAATAGAAATATCCCTAACAGACCTCATAAATAAGTCACTCTCACAAGGAAAATTCCCAGAAAAATTAAAAATAGCAAAAAAAGTCTACCCAAAATACAAAAATGGAATGAATAAATGAATGAAAAAGTGCTTTATTGCTGCTTTTATATACATTTCCAGATACCACACAGGGCATCTGCCAAACGAAACACTTTGGGTATTGGCCGGAAGGGCTGAAAAATATACATAACAGATAATTAAAAGCAACACGATAGATACTGAGAAAACAATAAAAAGCTATTCGAACAATAAACAATACAGTCCAATTCATGGAAATGAAATAAACAAAACAAATACATTATCATTATTTTTTTTTAGAAAATAAATTCTTAATAGTATATTTTGTACCTAGGGCCGAAAATGAGGTTTTGCCTGCTCGAGATAGTTT